CCCACTCCGGCCCTGAAAGGGTTAAAAGCCAGCCCTTAGAGAGGGTTGGGCCTGAGAGCCAATAAGAATAGGCTGATTGGGAAGGCAGCCACAGCTGGGGCCATGCCCAGGTAGGAGACAGCTGGCCCTATAGAAGGGTTGTGAGCCAGGAGCTGGGGCAGTCTCTCTCTAGCTCTTGGGAGAGAAGGACCTGGCTGCCTGGGAGCTCAGGGTACAGGGAACAGAGCAGGACTGGGGAAAGGCAAGAGGAGCTGGGGAGCTCCAGCTTGGTAAATCCCCAGGCTGCAGGCCTTGTGCAAGGCCTAAAACAGGTACTGGGCTTGCAGGGGTGCAGCTCGGGGTTAGGCAGAGGCAGCTGGTCCAACCTCCTTGCCAATGATGAGTGGCTGCTAGTTCCTGGCTACAGAGGCTTGGCAGAATTCAAATTGTATTGTTCTCGATTCGATTCGAGTTTATCTTTAGACTTTTCTTAGAGTTTTTGCTATTTAAATGTTCACCGTTGTGGGATATTCTGGAGGGGTCAGACATGAATTATTTAATGACAGTAACGTTGAGGGGAAAGTAACAGCTTTGTGAGTGCTGCACAGTTACCTGCAGCTCTAGCTGCGCTAATCCCCGAGTCGAGTCGGCTGTTTTAGCAGAACTGTCAAGCCGTGGGTTCTGCAGCATTCATTGCATCACACTTTAAACACACTGAGGGGGGACGCTAGTAAATTCTCAAGCAGCATTTCTCTTGCGTTGTCTATCTGTACATTTTTATTATTATTGCTGAAACTATTTCTTGGTGGCTTTGTGTGCGAGTGGAGAAATCGTCGTTTACTGACATTTCCCAATAAAAATCTAATCCCTCCAAGCGTAAAGAGAGAAGAGATGTGAGGAACAGTACAGGAAGTTTTGGTGAGGATGCCAGCCCGATAATGACATTGGCTAGACACAGCTGAGAAGCCCCAGCAAGACCCAACAACTTGGCTTTCTAAAAACAGGGCACTAATTAAACAATAACCCAGTCCCTGTGCTGAAAAGGGCTCCCTCCTCTCCAATTTAGCAGCTATTAATTGAAACCTTTGCACACCTCTCTCAAACACTCTTGACTGCCAACATGGAAGCAATTACAGGGTGTGCCAGGCAGCACACCCCCACACTTGAAAAGGAGAGTAACACTGGGGCAGCTTTTCCAGCTAGCATCACAAAATAAAGGCACATCCCAGTGTTCGCTGAGGAGACGGCAACCTGTGTGCAGGAAAAGTGTTGCCAAAGGGGTGGTGGAGAGTCGAGGGGCTGAGCCAGGAAACAGCTTTATTCCCCCTCCATGTGCTTCACCATCTCCCTGGCCACATTCAAGTGACATTTCCCTATTTCCTGTAATTCCAGCTGCTAGGGGCCGCCACACAGGGACTCCCCAGACTGGGTCTGCTGACTGGACAGTAAACTCCTGTGTGGGGGGGCAGAGAAGAGTGTGGTGAACGCACAGCTGAACACGGCGTCCCCCCCCAACAGGCCTAGATTTCACAGGCTCTTTTATCCCTTAACAAGACTCTATTAATTGCTTCTGAGGGGCGGTGCCTTGGGCTTCCTCCAGCTTGCTCCATCTGAAAGCAATCGGCAGCTCTCCTTCATTGACAAAACACAGAAAACAACCCAAACGCTCTGTATCCAAACCCGGGGAGAAGAGTGCCTGGTCCGGTGGGGTGGGGTCAGGCTGGGGTTGGCAATTGGACACAGAGACTCTCTTCTCTAGGTCTCCACGCCAAATCCAACATAAGTGATCAGTGGGTGAGCATCGGAGAATATGGATGCCACCACATAAAGCTGGGGTGCAGCGGAGGGGACATAGGGAGAAGTATAAAAATATTGCTTAGGCACGCAGGAGTGAAATCAGGAAGGCCAAATCACACTTAGAGTTGCAGCTAGCAAGGGATGTTAAGAGTAACAAGAAGGGCTTCTTCAGTTATGTTAGCAACAAGAAGAAGGACAAGGAAAGTGTCGGCCCCTTACTGAATAAGGGAGGCAACCTAGTGACAGAAGATGTGGAAAAAGCTAACATACTCAATGCTTTTTTTGCCTCTGTCTTCACAAACAAGGTCAGCTCCCCAGACTGCTGCACTGGGCAGCACAGTATGGGGAGGAGGTGACCAGCCCTCTGTGGAGAAAGCTAGACGAACACAAGTCCATGGGGCTGGATGCGCTGCATCCGAGGGTGCTAAAGGAGTTGGCGGATGTGATTGCAGAGCCATTGGCCATTATCTTTGAAAACTCATGGCGATCGGGGGAGGTCCTGGATGACTGGAAAAAGGCTAATGTAGTGCCCATCTTTAAAAAAGGGAAGAAGGTGGATCTGGGGAACTACAGGTCAGTCAGCCTCACCTCAGTCCCTGGAAAAATCATGGAGCAGGTCCTCAAGGAATCAATTTTGAAGCACTTCGAGGATAGGAAAGTGATCAGGAATAATCAGCATAGATTCACCAAGGGCAAGTCATGTCTGACTAACCTAATTGCCATCTATGATGAGATAACTGGCTCTGTGGATGAGAGGAAAGCAGTGGATGTGTTATTCCTTGACTTTAGCAAAGCTTTTGATATGGTATCCCACAGTATTCTTGCCGGCAAGTTAAAGAAGTATGGGCTGGATGAATGGACTATAAGGTGGCTAGAAAGCTGGCTAGATCGTCGGGCTCAATGGGTAGTGATCAATGGCTCCATGTCTAGTTAGCAGCCGGTATCAAGCGGATTACCCCAAGGGTCAGTCCTGGGGCCGGTTTTGTTCAATATCTTCATTAATGATCTGGAGGATGGCGTGGACCTCAGCAAGTTTGCAGAGGACACTAAACTGGGAGGAGTGGTAGATATGCTGGAGAGTAGGGATAGGATACAGAGGGACATAGACAAATTAGAGAATTGGGCCAAAAGAAATCTGATGAGGTTCAACAAGGACAAGTGCAGAGTCTTGCACTTAGGATGGAAAAATCCCATGAACTGCTACAGACTAGGGACCGAAGGGCTAGGCAGCAGTTCTGCAGAAAAGGACCTAGGGGTTACAGTGGACGAGAAGCTGGATATGAGTCAGCAGTGTGCCCTTGTTTCCAAGAAGGCTAACGGCATTTTGGGCTGTATAAGTAGGGGCATTGCCAGCAGATCGAGGGACGTGATCATTCCCCTCTATTCGGCATTGGTGAGGCCTCACCTGGAGTACTGCATCCAGTTTTGGGCCACGCACTACAAGAAGGGTGTGGAAAAATTGGAAAGAGTCCAGCAGAGGGCAACAAAAATGATTAGGGGGCTGGAGCACATGACTTATGAGGAGAGGCTGAGGGAACTGGGATTATGTAGTCTGCAGAAGAGAAGAACGAGGGGGGATTTGATAGCTGCTTTCAACTACCTGAAAGAGGGTTCCAAAGAGGATGGATCTAGACTGTTCTCAGTGGTACCAGATGACCGAACAAGGAGTAATGGTCTCAAGTTGCAGTGGGGGAGGTTTAGGTTGGATATTAGGAAAAACTTTTTCACTGGGAGGGTGGTGAAGCACTGGAATGGGTTACCTAGGGAGGTGGTGGAATCATTTTCTTTAGAGGTTTTTAAGATCAGGCTTGACAGAGCCCTGGCTGGGATGATTTAGTTAGGGATTGGTCCTGCTTTGAGCAGGGGATTGGACTAGATGACCTCCTGAGGTCCCTTCCAACCCTGATATTCTATGATTCTATGACCTGCAGCTGAGAGCAAGGTAACACTGACAGGAAATGAAAATGTGGGTACACCAGAGTTGGAGGCCCTGGGAAAGGAGTCTGGGCTGTCAGTCCATAGAGTCATAGAATACCAGGGTTGGAAAGGACCTCAGGAGGTCATCTAGTCCAATCCCCTGCTCAAAACAGAACCAATCCCCAGACAGATTTTTATCCCAGTTCCCTAAATGGCCCCCTCAAGGATTGAATTTACAACCCTGGGATTAGCAGGCCAATGCTCAAACCACTGAGCTATCCCTCCCCCCTCATTGGATACATGACCTCTCACAAAACTACCATCACAACTGGCCCCTTTGCCATCAGACTCAGCAGAGAAGCCAAGGATGAACTAGGCCCTGGAGACAGGATTCCTTCACACCCTTGACAGTAAATAGCTCCTGGAGCCGGGGCTCAGGCATTTAGGCTCCCTGTACAGGACCCATTCTGTGCAGACATTTCCAGTCTTCTGTGCTGGCAACCTGGCACCTTTCAGCAGTCTGGAGCTCCCTTCAAAAACGGCTTTTCCCTCTAACGAGACTGTCAGCGTCTGAATACCCAGGGAGCACACTAGCCCTGAACTCCCATGCAGCACAACGTGGCGGGCCCACTGAGCCTTGCCAGAGCCTGCCACACTGACAGCTCTGCGCTTGAAAGAGAAGATACTCCTGAAGTGATTCTATATTAGTGACACACATACACAGGGGCCTCAGCCAGGATCCCAGCATGCCTCTGCTTCGCAAATCTATGGGACCCTCTTACTCTGAGCTGGGAAGAAGAGGGCAGAGTGGGCCCATGTCTGCAAAAAGCAGCCATTTACTATATCAATCACAAACAATCACAAGCATATCTGCAGAACTTAGTCCTTCAGCTGAAGAAACACAGACCTTTACCATATGTGTCAACTCCTTTAGCTGACATTCTGAGTTTCCCAGACCTGAAGGAGAGCTCTGTGTCGTCTCTGTCACCAACAGAAGTTGGTCCAATAAAAGCAATTACCTCACCCTCCTTGTCTCTCTAGTAGCAAATATGTCCCTTACCTTCTCTGTAGACCCAGCCCCTGGAGGGCAACATCATTCTCACATGCAGGTGACTGCAGCTGTGGCCCACTCCCGCAGCACGCACAGCCAGCAGACACAAGATTTACAGTGAGGGAGCTTTGCATGAAGCTCTGAAACCCTGAAGCAGCTTTGATTGCCTGTTAATCAGCACCAGGAATCGACTCGCACTCTGGACACACCAGGCACTGAGTTGCCCAGGGTTGCTGCTGCGGGTGGTTTTACTCACTGATTTCCAGCTGTCTTTGAATCCTCCCTTTGCAGCGCTCCCTGTAGTCAGACTGGGTGGCGTTGTACTCAGACATCACCTCCACAAACTTGCGCGACAATGTGGAATGCTGGAGAGGGAAGAGTAACAAAGAAAGTCACATTTTACTTAGCCTCATAGGGAGAGGGGCCATTCTCTATGAAGGCTTTTGTCAGGATGAGAAATTCACAGCTCTGAACCCCACATCACTAAAACTCCCCCCTGGCATTTCCATCCCAGACAGAGTAACCCAGGTGACGACTGCACAGACATTCTACAGCTTCTGCAGAAATATCATCTGATGACATCAACCAGGTGGGGTTAAGACAGCTTGTCATGAATATTTATCACCCTGAGCACAAACTTGATGATATTTTACCCGACTGTCAAAAGAAAATATTTGCCCTGGGTGCAGAGAGTTTGGCAAGGCTGACAGAAAGAGAAAACGTCGCTGTTCTAATTTAAATCTGAGAGCTACACTCAGCCGTTACTCCTGTCTTACTCAGGAAGATGCCCAGATGCACTGAGATTTGCTGAGCAGAAACTTAAGCAAGTTTCTTCTGATCAGTGGCACTGGAGTCAGAGGGCCCTGTTCCCTAGAAGGACTGTTATTGTGGGGACACCAAGGAATCAGGGCTAGAAGCAAAGCAGCCACATGGACAGAGAGCCCTGCAGAGCGGTTAAAAAAGTTCCACTTGTTCAATGTAACCTGCATGCAGCCTCGCTCTTTGCTAACTCACAGCATCTGCGGTGCAGCAGCTGGCTGCATGAGCCCTGAGGCTGGGTCCGGAGCCCCGGGTTTTGCAGACACAAACCTAGCCCAGCAACAGACCCGGTGGAAGGAGGAGTTCGAGCTGTGCACAGACCTGGGCATGTAGGATGATGACATCAGCAGGAAAATAAAACAGTTATTTTACCTTATTGGGGAACAAGGGAGAGAGGGCTGCACCCTGGGGAGCTCAGCACTGCCTCAAGCCTCACAGCAGGCCTATGGCTCCTCAACGCGTCACAGGTTCTTCACTTGAGACCAATGCAGAGGGGAGGGGATAGAGCCCAGTGTCACTGCCATATGCACACAGGCTGCTCCATGCAATTTTGGGGACTTGACAGAGTACCTAATTCAGGTCAGTCTGCAGCACTTGGGGTCACCACCTGCAGGAGCAGCTGCTCCAAGAAGTACATCTCACATTAGACAGATGCTTAGTCCTGGGGCATGCAGCGGCAGCCTCAAGACAAAGGATGGAAGCCTCCGGAGGCACAACACACCAGAAGTACAGCAGTGAGACAGCAGCAAAGGAGGGCAGGCAGCCAGGGTTCCTTACCCATAGTGAGATGCATTTCCTGTGGGAGACCATGAGCAGGTGGAGAAGTGCCCTGCCCTAGGACAGCACTGCAAGGAACGGGGCAAATTGGACCCTGGTAGCAGTGTGTGCAAGAGAAGAGGAGGTTGTACAAGTGGGGGAGGGGACATCAGACAGCAGTGATGACATCATGACTCTCTCCTTGAGTCCAAGAGCGTATCAGGTTCAGGCCGTCAGGACGGGAAAGCAACAAGGGACAATAACAACCTCTGTGCATGCAACAATGGTTCCAGGAAAACGGGCTGTGCTCTGAACCCTGCAGTGGGGCCTCCTGCCGTGGGATTCCTTGAGGTGAATTGGTCTCAGACACACCCATTACAGACAGCAGGCACAATCTAATAACGTACCACAAGAGCACAATGCAGCCCGTAGGAAAACATGACCTCATCGTAACTCACCTGAAAAATAACAGAGGGCAGAGCTGAGGTTTGTGGTAGTGGATGGTGAGCACCACTGGCCCGTCGGGGGATCACAGCGAGAAGTAAGGTTAAGATTTTGTCACAGGTATTTTTAATAAAAGTCACGGACAGGTCACGGGCAATCAACAAAAATTCACAGAAACCGTGACCTGTCCGTGACTTTTACTAAAAATAATGGGGGGAGCTGACAAAGGGGGAATAACAGCTCCAGCCCCGGGTGACTCACAGTTCCGGGCTCCCGCCACATGGCTCACAGCTCCGGGGTCCACGCTGCATGGCTCAGAGCTCCGGGCTCCCACCACATGGCTCAGAGCTCCGGGCTCCCACCACATGGCTCAGAGCTCCGGGGTCCACGCTGCATGGCTCAGAGCTCCAGGCTCCCGCCACATGGCTCAGAGCTCCGGGGTCCACGCTGCATGGCTCAGAGCTCCAGGCTCCCGCCACATGGCTCACAGCTCCAAGGCCCCCAATGCCAGCGATGGCTTAGAGCTCTGGGGCTGGTGGCTCAGAGTTGCTGAGCCCCTGCCACCCACGGTGGCTGAGAGCTCCCAGCCTCCAAGCTGGCAGCTGACAGTTCTAGCTGCGCCACGCCGGGGCTCAGGGCTGAAGCTGAAGAAAATGTCATGGAGATCTCTGAAAGTCACGGAATCTGTGACCAAATCTTATCCTTAGTGATAAGCCCTGGATCTGTTCAAGGGGCAGCGTCACACTGACATTCCAGTATGATGCATCAGACAAAGGATGCTGGTTGCTTAGGCTAGCAGAGCCCTGTCAGAGACTGAACCCAAACAGGAAAAGAGCTTCTGGCTGTCGTATTTGGAGCGGAGCGATTCCATCAGTGCCCCTATGGCCACCCAGTAATAGTGCAATCAGCCCACAAACCCCTAGAGACAATCCTGGCAAAGCCCTTTCTTAGGGCTCCAAAGAGATGGCAACGCATGTTGATGCACCTCCAGTGCTACAGGTAGAGATCAGACATTGTCCAGGACAATTACTGGTGTTAGCTGACACCCTGAGCAGGGGATACACACCCAGCACCCACAAGACGGGGGAAGGGGTTTAGGACATGAATCTGGAATGCCTGGTTGAAAAGGGACCTGGTGGGGCTATTAAAAGTCTGGTTGGCAGTGCAGTGGGGCTAAGGCAGGCTCCCTGCCTGCCCTGGCTCCATGCAGCTCCCGGAAGCGGCTGGCATGTCCCTGCAGCCCCAAGGCCCAGGGGCGATCAGGGAAGCTCCATGCACTGCCCCTGCCCCAGGCACCGGCTCCGCAGCTCCCATTGGCCGGGAATTGCAGCCAATGGGAGCTGTAGGGGCAGCATGCAGAGCCCTCTGGCCCCTGCGCCTAAGAGCTGGACATGCCAGTCGCTTCTGGGAGCCACACGGAGCCAGGGCAGGCAGGGAGCCTGCCTTAGCCCCACTGCGCCGCCTGGGAGCCGCCTGAGGTAAGCGCTGCTCGGCTGGAGCCTGCACCCCGACCCCCCTGCCTCAGGGCGGAACCCCCTCCTGCACCCTAACTCTCTCCCGGAGCCCACACCCCGCCCTGTACCCCAATGCCCTGCCCCAGACCTGAGCCCCCTCCTGCACCCCAAACCCCTTAGCTCCTACACCACAAACCCCTCATCTCCAGCCCCACCCCAGAGCCTGCACCCCCATCCGGAGCCCTCACCCCCTCTTGCACCCCTGCCCCAGCCCGGAGCCTCCTCCTGCACTCTGAACCCCTCATTTCTGGCCCCACCCCACAGCCCGCACTCCCTTCTGCACCCCAACCCCCTGCCCCAGCCCAGTAAAAACGAGTAAGGGTGGGGGAGAGCAAGCAACAGAGGGAAGGGGGATGGAATGAGTGCGGGCGGGCCTCAGATAAGGGACGGGGCAGGGCAAGGGTGTTCAGTTTTGTGCAATTAGAAAAATGGCAACCCTACGCTGATGGAAATCAACGAGGCTACAGCAAAGGACGTCCAACTACAGACAGTCCAGAGAGTGATCCTAGCAGAAAGGCTAGATGACAAAAGCCAAGTACCTGCCGGAACAGAATCATAGAGGTTTTTAAGGCCTGGCTTGACAAAGCCCTGGCTGGGATGATTTAGTTGGTGTTGGTCCTGCTTTGAGCAGGGGGTTGGACTAGATACCTCCTGAGGTCCCTTCCAACCCTGATATTCTCTGATTCTATATTTTCACATTAAAGATGAGTTGAGTGTGCAGGATAGAATTATACAAAGGGATGTGTGATGGGGTATACCTGGCTCTTTGGTGCCCTCTGCTGGAGGCCGTGCAGTCCTACTATGCCCCACCTCAGGAAGGAGCAGCGGAGGTGGGTAATAGAATCATAGAAGATTAGGGTTGGAAGAGACCTCAGGAGTTCATCTAGTCCAACCCCCTGCTCAAAGCAGGACCAACACCAACTAAATCATCCCAGCCAGAGTTTAAAAACCTCTAAGGATGGAGATTCCACCACCTCCCTAGGTAACCCATTCCAGTGCTTCACCACCCTCCTAGTGAAATAGTGTTTCCTAATATCCAACCTAGACCTCCCCCCTGCAACTTGAGACCGTTGCTCCTTGTTCTGTCATCTGCCACCACTGAGAACAGCCGAGCTCCATCCTCTTTGGAACCCCCCTTCAGGTAGTTGAAGGCTGCTATCAAATCCCCCCTCATTCTTCTCTTCTGCAGACTAAACAAGCCCAGTTCCCTCAGCCTTTCCTTGTAAGTCATTTGCCCCCGCCCCCAATCGTTTTTGTTGACCTCCACTGGACTCTCTCCAATTTGTCCCCATCCTTTCTGTAGTGGGGGCCCCAAAACTGGATGCAATACTCCAGATGTGGCTTCACCAGTGCCAAATAGAGGGGAATAATCACTTCCCTCGATCTGCTGGCAATGCTCCTACTAATGCAGCCCAATATGCCGTTAGCCTTCTTGGCAACAAGGGCACACTGCTGACTCATATCCAGCTACTCATTGACTGTAATCCCCGGGTCCTTTTCTGCAGAACTGCTGCTTAGCCAGTCGGTCCCTAGTCTGTAACAGTGAATGGGATTCTTCCATCCTAAGTGCAGGACTCTGCACTTGTCCTTGTTGAACCTCATCAGGTTTCTTTTGGCCCAATCCTCCAATTTGTCTAGGTCACTCTGGACCCTATCCCTACCCTCCAGCATATCTACCTCTCCCCCCAGCTTAGTTTAAAAGGTCCTCCAGGCCTGCCTACACAGATTGCACAGAAGCAGCCAATCAGAGCCCTGCAGGCTCAGATAAAAGGAGCTGCAAGGACTGAGCAGGTCAGTGCCTGTCTGGGACCAGAGGCGAGGACGTTGGTTCT